TGGATGCGCATGGCCAGTGAACGACGATAGGAACTGTTGCCGGCCGAAGGATTAGAAAGAAGGGTGACAGGCATTGATGACAAAATAAAAGAAGAAACGATCCGACGAATTAACTAGATGAGACAAGATAAAAATGAGGCGGCTAACTCAGTAGATCGAAAAATAAAATTGTGAACAAATATCCGAGCTTGAGGTCCAAGTGTAGAGGTGTTCATAATCCGGCGACCCAAAGGTCGGATACCGTGATGGATGCATCTTAAGCACAACGATTTTTACATAAAATAAAAAGTGATGGACTGGATGTCAGAGGCGAAGCGTTGCCATTTGGCACATAGGAAACTGGATCTTGACGTCCTTGTGATGTACTGAAAATCAACACTAAGTTTAATGTAAGTAAAGGTATAAGGCATATTATGGTCTATAAATTCCTTTCTTTCATCGGCTCGTCTATGCTAATTACTGAGCGAAACGATCAGGATATTGTCAATCTCGATTAAGCTATTAGCGCTTTAGTAAGTTGGTGTACTTTCGCTTATGACAGGCTATGAATATGTAGCATAATGGCCTTGTTGATAAAAACAGAGACCCCGGATGGGGCCTGGCACTTCAATCAATTTGGGCAACAGACCATGACACTGTTTGAGTATATGAGCAGCTATCTTGTAATGAAGATAACATCATTTCTGATGACTCACTGCAAAAGCTCCCTATTAAGTCACAATGGGGAATGAGTTTAATTCTCTTATAAACCCAAACACGATTATTTTTAAAGTATCTATAATGACGAGGTATTTTATTTGACCTATTAAACTGTTCTGATTTCTCAAATCGTTTAGATAAATAAGGTTTGATTTTAAATTCAATTAGGTCTGTCGGATAATGAGAAAGGGAGGCCCTCTCTTATATAGTTCTGACCTGTCCAATCTCAGAATACATAGATCCCTACAAAATGATATGATCAGGAGTTAACAGTTTGGAAAAATAACGGGCCCTGGTGTCCATAGGCAAATGGATGTCCGTAATTTCTAAAAGCAATTAAAGCAATTAGCAAATTGAAAAATTCAAACGATGTTCAGCCTACAAGTTTGGAGTAAGATATTTCGAGTTGTATAGTCGGCTCGGTATATGTGATAGAATATACACCTATAGTTATTAATCCCTGAAAGTAATGTCTTGAGAGACAACTTTAGAGATACTCTAGTCTTTAAGATGTTGACAAATGAAATATAATCATAACGTATCATTGAAAAGGATAGGCTACAAGACCCATGAAATTTTAGCGCTTGCTACTCGTTAAAAGAACCATGACTGTTGAGACCTTTGAATACTTACAGAGACTAATTTGTTGAATAGCAAATAAGAGGGAAATTGTTTAGTCGCCTGCCTTCTGACCCATAGGAATTTTGAAACAGTTTTACACTTGAATTGATGCTGATGCACATGGTCACCAAACACTACTTTTTCGGGTTCGGATGAAGCTCAATCGTGACAAAGTGATAATCTCAAGAGATAATGATTGAATAGTGTTGTATATGATTGTATTTACTTAGGCACAGATAAGCCGTGTCTATCTAAGCACAAATCAAGAAAGCCTGGTTATGCCACCAGATAGGTAAGGTATTTCTAGTATTTTTATTCGGAATACAGCTTTACTTGGATCTCCCAAGAGCTTCGCAGAGTTAATGCTTATAGGCATATTGGGGCATCGATACAAGTGCTCCAAAATTCTGGATTTTAAAAGCTACTTTATGAGCATTCCTGTTAAGAGGTTGAGATTTTATATAACAATTTGTTTGTTATATCAACCAAGCAAAATATTTGCTTGAACTATGCCCGTTAATTCAAAGCATATGCAACTTGGTAGATTACCTTCACACTGTCACCGGTTGTTGTTCTTATGAAAGGCAAAATGAACTCTAAGAGAATAGCTACGCTAAAAATAGCAGTAAATCTAAGCAAGAAGATTTTCAAAATGCATGGGCACTATATCGCTTTGAGATGGCTATGAAAGATTTAATTAGTGCTGAACTAACCGAACGTGTAAACACATCGCGTCTTACGGCGCTCACTCGTCCTGAAACCCGAACGTCAGCACCCAACCTCACTAAGTTGATGAGGTCAAGACAAGGCAGCAAAAGGCGACCGAGACTAGCGGTGTTGGCAAGGGATTGTCCTGGGCCAGATGAAACCAGATCACTGGATAACTCAGATATGCCGGCAGCGACTGCACAAGAGGACTCCGGCGCCAAACTGACCATGTGATAGAGATCGAGCATGTATGCACTAAAAATGAGTTAGGGATAGAGCAAAACATATGAAGAATAAGATTGTGTAGCCTTAGGTTTGGACATAGTCTCATTTAGCCGCATCGTGTTGGTTTGACCTCGTTTTGGCAACTTAGTCGTATAAAAAACATACCATG